AGGCAGGAGAATCCGTTGAACCTGGTGAACCTGGGAGGCGGAGGTTGCAGTGAGCTGAGATCAAGCCACTGTACTCCAGCCTGGGCGACAGAGCAAGATTGTCTCAAAAAAAAAAAAAAAAGGAAAAGAAAAAGATCGAAGAAAATCCAGTATCCATGCCTTAACCTGTTGGTTCATTTCCTTGTAACTTTGTTAATTGCATGAGTGTTGTCTGATATCATCTGAGCAAGTTGCCAACTCTAAGGTTCTGCAATCTGAAAGTGCAGTGCAGCTCCTGGGAGGGCGTCTGTCCCCGTGGCTGGAGGCTCTCACTGTCAGAGCCGTTGGGAGGACCCAGGCAGTGGATGGGGATGCAGACTAGATCATGTCCAAGGTCCTTAAAAACCGCAAGGTGTATAAGATGCAGCCAAAAGGATTTAAGGCAAAACTCCACAAACAAAAGGGACAAAAACCCTCAAGGTGGGTGGGGGGGGGCGGGAAGCTTGAACAGGTAATTAGGAATTAAACAGCTAAAAAAATTTTTTTTTTTTTTTGAGAGGGAGTTTTGCCCAGGCTGGAGTGCAATGGCACTATATTGGCTCACCACAACCTCCGCCTCCCAGGTTCAAGCAATTCTCCTGCCTCAGCCTCCCTAGTAGCTGGGATTACAGGCGTGCGCCACCACGCCCGGCTAATTTTGTATTTTTAGTAGAGACAGGGTTTCTCCATGTTGGTCAGGCTGGTCATGAACTCCCCACCTCAGGTGATCCGCCCGCCTCGGCCTCCCAAAGTGCTGGGATTATAGGCATGAGCCACCGCGCCCAGCAATAATCTGGTTATTAAAGACACAATAATTCTTGTAATTGAAGCAGGTTTTCTTTTTTCTACAGACCACTATTATTTTATTCCTGTCTCTCTGGAAAATGAAAAATCCATTAGTTTTTCTCTTTTGCTTTTACCCAGAAATTAAAGGTTAGTAAGTGGTAATTAGCATAGCACCTGTCAAAGCCAGTTGCCTAATGGGGACCGACATTTGACTTCAGTTGAAAGAATGGAATATGGCTAATGTAGAGTTCATTAGTTCCAGCTGCTTTCTTTGACATTCTTTTCTCCTAGTATGAGAACAGGTATGGCCTGCTCTCTCTTGCTCCCATTTTTAGACATATTGCTGTGCTCCTGTGTGCCTATTCTACAAGGCTGGAGGCATAGTGGTTATAGGGAAGTAAATGGTAATGGGGCAATATGTTTGTGACCACATTCATTATACATCTGGGCTAGAGTTCACAGGTCTTTGCCCTACTGACTCTTGATAGAGGACTCCAGCACCCTGTCTGCCCCTGAGAAACGAAAGAGAACCACTTTCCACTGTCTACTATACATTAGGTACTAAGATTTTTCTCATTATAGTACTTCATTCCTTTTTTGAGGGGGGATTGGATTATTTATTTTGAGACAGGGCCTCACTCTGTCACCCGGGGTGGAGTGCAGTGGCACGATCATAGCTCATTGCAGCCTCAAACTCCTGGGCTCAAGTGATCCTTCTGCCTTGACCTCCTGAGTATCTAGGATTACAGGCATGTGCCACTACACCCGGCTCATTTTTAGTTTTTAAATTTTTGTAGAGATGGGGTCTTGCTATGTTCCCCAGGTCGGTCGGTCATACAGTAGTTCACTTAGGCCAGGCGCGGTGGCTCACCACCTGTAATCCCAGCACTTTGGGAGGCCAAGGCAGGTGGATCACTTGAGGTCAGAAGTTTGAGACCAGCCTAGCCAACATGGTGAAACCCTGTGTCTACTAAAAATACAAAAAAAATTTAGTCGGGTGTGGTGGCGGGAGCCTGTAATCCCAGCTACTCTGGAGGCTGAGGCAAGAGAATCGCTTGAACCCAGGAGATAGAGGTTGCAGTGAGCAGAGACTGTGCCATTACCCACAGGTTCAAACAAAACAAAACAAAATATAGTACTTCATTTAACCCTTTCAAGCTTGGAGCCGTAGACTAAGAGGTTAGACTCAATCTGGTTTGTCTCACTCCCAAATCCACAGGACATTTTCCATTTTCCATCCAGTTCAGCCGCTTGGTGGATTCGCTTCAAGTACAGAATACCAATACCAATGCCCAGATGAGTCAACGAAAGCTCTGTGTGTCTGACAGAAAGAAAATATTCTGGCTGTGTGTGGTGGCTCATGCCTGTAATCCCAAAACTCTGGGAAGCTGATGTGGGAGCACTGCTTGAGGCCTGGAGTTTGAGACCAGCCTGGGTAACATGGTTGGGTTTTTATGTACCCTGGATTTCCTAGGAATGTAGCTACTTTGTAAATCAAGGACAGACCCATTTACTGTTCTGGGAAATCCCACTCCCAAGGGCAATGCTGCTGGTGGTGTCTGAGCTGACAATCCCTGTGCTCTGCGTGCCAGTCAGCCTCTGTCAGACGCACAGCGAGTCCATGTGTAAGTGCAAGCATCTGACAGTGAAACACACGCCACGTCATTGGAAACTATTTTCCTTTTTGCCCTGAAATAGTACATTTGGGGCATTACAGATAACTGGGGCTTCTCTAAGTATGAGGGTAGATTACCAGCGATGGCTTCTATTAAAGGATAATTAAGGAGGCATTGCAAAATAAGCTATAAAAAGGGAAATGTTGGGGCTAGTGAGAGCCAATGGAGGGTATTAGTAAAAGGATGCTGAGTACATCTAAGCCCTCCTTGAATCACAGGAAAATGAAACAGTTGTTTTCTACTTAATTGTTTTCTGTATCCCCATCTTTACCCTAGGACTTACTGTGATAATTTTTTTTTTGAGACAGTCTCGCTCTGTTGCCCAGACTGGAGCGCAGTGGCAGGATCTCAGCTCACTGCACTCTCCATCTCCTGGGTCCAAGTGATTATCATGCCTCAGCCTCCTGGGTAGCTGGGATTACAGGTGCCCACCATCACGACCGGCTAATTTTTGTATTTTTAGTAGACGGGGTTTTGTCACGTCGGCCAGGCCGGTCTCAAACTCCTGACCTCAGGTGATCCGTCTGCCTCGGCCTCCCAAAGTGCTGAGATTACAGGTGTGAGCCACCGCGCCCGGCCTATTGTGACATATTGTGATATTTCTTTTTTTTTTTTTTTCGTGACAGTGTCTCACTCTGTCACCCAGGCTGGAGTACAGTGGCACAATTTCGGCTCACCTCCACCTCCACTTCCTGGGTTCAAGCAATTCTCGTGCCTCAGCCTCCCAAGTAACTAGGACTACAGGCGTGTACCACGACACCCGGCTAATTTTTTATAATTTTAGTAGGGATGGGGTTTCACCATGTTGGCTAGGCTTGTCTTGAACTCCTGACCTCAGGTGATCCACCCGCCTCGGCCTCTCAAAATGCTGGGATTACAGGTGTTAGTCACTGCGCCCGGCCTATTGTGATATTTCTTTACTTAATAACTAGCCAATGAATCTCTTAATAGCATTCTGTTTTCCTCTAAGCATGCATAAAAAACGGTCAAGTAAGTCCATGATAAGTCATTACCTTTTCCCTGCAAGGAGTGTACTATAGATTACCAAACCTGCAGAACCAGTCTGTATGGAGACAGGAGGACTAACTAGGCTTGCTCTGCTTCACACCCAGAGACTTGGAGTCATAGCACACGGAAATTGCTTTAATGACCTTTTATACCCCCTGCTGATAAAGCAATTAGAAAACTGAAGTTTCATAGTGGTAAGATGTAATTTAACAATACTGAATTAGATATTAGAAATGGACTTTCCATATGTCCCTATGGTCTACAAGCTTAATGTGGATCTTTAAACCAACAAATAAAACAGTTCATTAACTGGAGAAACAAGTTTGTGGCCATAATCAGCACTCTGTAATGTCCCATCTTCACCACTATCTGTGCTTAAAATTCTGCAGTGCTATCTTCAGAATAAGGATAATGATTTGCAAATACGACCATTTCTTTTCATTGCCCTTGACAATACCTTTTTAAAAAAAAGAAAAGTAGGGTCTTACTCTGTCATCCAGGCTGGAGTGTGGTGGCATGATCAGAGCTCACTGCAGCCTTCAACTCCTGGGCTCAAGCGATCCTCTTACCTCAGCCTGAGTAGCTAGGACTATGCCTGGCTAACTTAAAATTTTTTTTTGTAGAGAGAGTCTTGCTATGTTGTCTAAGCTGACAATTACTTTATTAAAAAATTATTTTTTTCTGGGCCAGGGGTGGTGGCTTACGCCTGTAATCTCAGCACTTTGGGAGGCTGAGGCGGGTGGATCACCTGAGGTCAGGAGTTTGAGACCAGCCTGGCCAAAGTAACAAAACCCTGTCCTTACTAAAAATACAAAAATTAGCCGGGCATGGTGGCGCCCGCCTGTAATCCCAGCTACTTGGGAGGCTGAAACAAGAGAATCGCTTGAACCTGGGAGGTGGAGGTTGCAGTGAGCTGAGAGTGTACCACTGCACTCCAGACTAGGTGACAGAGTGAGACTCTGTCTCAAAAAAACAAAACAAAACTTTTTTTTTTTTTGAGATACGGAGCCTCGCTCTGTTGCCCAGGCTGGAGTGCAGTGACACGCTCTCAGCTCGCTGCAACCTCTGCCTCCCAAGTAGCTGGGGTTTCACCATATTGGCCAGGTTGGTCTCGAACTCCTGACCTCAGATGATTCGCCCACATCAGCCTCCAAAGTGCTGGGATTAAAGGTGTGAGCCACCCTGGTGCCTGGCCTTTTTTTTTTTTTTGAGATGGAGTGTCACTCTGTCGCCAGGCTGGAGTGCAGTGGCGTAATCTCGGCTCACTGCAAGCTCCACCTCCTGGTTCAAGGGACTCTCCTGCCTCAGCCTCCTGAGTAGCTGGGACTACAGGCTCCTGCCACCAAGCCCGGCTAATTTCTTGTACTTTTAGTAGAGACGGGTTTCACTGTGTTAGCCAGAATGGTCTCGATCTCCTGACCTCGTGATCCACCCACCTCGGCCTCCCAAAGTGCTGGGCTTACAAGCGTGAGCCACCGTGCCAGGCCCGGACTTCCTTTTTTTTTTTTTAACTGTTCCATATGGGGCAGGGCTAAATGTTAGGTGTGCACCCATAGTCACCACCAATTACTTTTTTTTTTTTTTTTTTTTTTGTGAGACGGAGCCTCACTCTATCACCCAGGCTGGAGTGCAGTGGTGCAATCTCAGCTCACTGCAAGTTCCGCCTCCTGGGTTCACACCATCCTCCTGCCTCAGCCTCTCGAGTACCTAGGACTACAGGCGCCCACCACCATGCCAGGCTAATTTTTTTGTATGTTTAGTAGAGATGGGGTTTCACCGCGTTAGCCAGGATGGTCTCTATCTCCTGACCTTGTGAACTTGCCAGCCTCGGCCTCCCAAAGTGTTGGGATTACAGGTGTGAGCCACCGCGCCTGGCCAATCACTGCCAATTACTTTTGAACAGAGAACATAATATGTAATTAGAGGAGGTGGGATATTGTTGATGCAGCTACATCATTGAAAATTGGCAGAAGTCCTGAAGCTGGTGGGGCTAAAAAAAAAAAAAAAAAATTGGTGGAAGGGCATATGTTGAGACCTGGAATAGCTTTTCTGGAAGGTGCTCTAAGGTGGGGGTAGAGTAGTACATAGGTAGTCAAATGATGAGGCTGAGGGAGTCTACCAATAACAATGCCACAGAGCTTCCTTGGCACACTTCCCGCTGCTGCTATGTGGGCTCCTGTTTGGCTCGCTTAGGATTCTGCCGTTCTCCAGGTGGTGAGGCCTTCCTTGCCGAGATGCTCCGGAGGGAATGCAAGCTCTGCATCTGCTGCAGGCGCAGGGCGAGCTCCCGCTCACAGGCCTCTTGAACAGTCTCCGTCTTCCTTATGTCCCAGTTCAAAGCAACAGCCAGTGCTTTGGGGTCTTCCCTGGTAACCAACTGTAGCAAGAATAAGAACCCCTGAGAACTGGGCCTTCTGTGCGCCTCTCCTGCTGCTCTCCTGACTCTCTTTTGGGGAGTGTAACGAGGCAGTACCTGTTTATGTTACCTCTTCACACTGAAATGCCGGCTTTCCTTTACCATCAATTGCCATGAGCTTTTTTTTTTTTTTTTGACAGAGTCTCGCTCTGTTGCCCAGGCTGGAGTAGAGTGGTGCAATTTCCGCTCACTGCAAGCTCCGCCTTCCGGGTTCATGCCATTCTCCTGCCTCAGCCTCCCAAGTGGCTGGGACTACAGGCACTGGCCACCATGCCCGGCTAATTTTTTTGTATTTTTTTTAGTAGAGATGGGGTCTCACTATGTTCGCCAGGATGGTCTCGATCTCCTGACCTCATGATCCACCCATCTCGGCCTCCCAAAGTGTTGGGATTACAGGCGTGAGCCACGGCGCCTGGCCGTCATGGGCTTTTTTAAGATGAGTTTTCACTCTTGTCGCCCAGGCTGGAGTGCAGTGGTGCGATCTTGGCTCACTGCAATCTCTGCCTCCTGGGTTCAAGTGATTCTCTTGCCCCAGCTCCTGCCACCACGCCAGGCTAATATTTGTATTTTTAGTAAAGATGGGGTTTCACCATGTTGGTCAGGCTGGTCTCAAACTCCTGACCTCAGGTGATCCACCTGCCTCGGCCTCCTAAAGTGCTGGCATTAACAGGTGTGAACCACTGTGCCTGGTCAAGCATGGGCCTTTTCTTACAACACCAACAGGAAGCAGTCCTTGGAAAGTTTACTTGGAGCAACTCTAAGGTCCTCCACCTTCAGGAAATTTAACCGAGCTCAAGTCAACAGTTTCCTTCCCTTCTATCTACAATAGGGAGGTACTTGTGACAGGGACAAGGACAAAGAATCAGAAGTAGCACCCACCCTGGCGGGTCCCCTTCCTCAAGCTTTTAGTTCCCTGTTCTTAGCCAGCAGGCGACGATCCCTCAAGTTTGCCTTTTCCTGTGACATTGACAGACCTCAGGATGGACTATAGATCTTCTTTAACCATGGAAAGAACCAGAAGCCATCTCAGAAGATTGGGCCCCGCTATTCCTCCCTGTCAGGAACAGTCATTTCATTACCAACCTGGGACCAGAGTCTGTCGGATGATCTGAAAAGTGTATGCATTTTTCTTTAAAGCTATTTTGATTTAGACTAATGAGATTTTTGCAAATGCTGGGGCATAGAATAGGCAAATTGGCAGCTAGGATTCACAGTCCGCAGAGGTGAACAAAAGGGTCCACACATCTCTGCACGGTAATACTACATCCCAGGGCATGTCCTTCTCTGTAGCTCAGTGACCCTGGTTTCCGCCCACCTCCAAATCCTGACTAGATAAGCTCAGCTCTGGAGCCGGCTTCTCCCTCAGTGCAGTAAGGATGTGGCTCGCCAGCGTGACGTCCGAGGAGGTCTCTCTGCTGATACCCGTGTCTACTGCATCTGCCTCCTCACCCAAGGCAGCTTTGGACTCTGCAAAGGAGACACGAGACAGAGATCAGATGTGGTGTGACCATACAGCCACATGACCAACTCGCCACAATAAGTGGCTGGGCAAGAGAGAAACGTGCCCTTCCCGCATCCCAGCAGCTGTGGCTTCAGTGGCTCTGGCTGCATCACAAATAGTGTCCTCCCGAGGGACGCCTCCATCAGCCCTGAATTCTCAGAGTAATTCTGCCTGCAGAGAGTCCTACCTTCCTGCTTTGACAAGAGGCTGCCCTCTTTCTCCAAAGCCTCGAGGTACAGCTGCAGGAGCTGCTTGGACTGACGCACTTCCTCTCTTTGGTCAAGCACTTGTTGGAGTGTGTGCTGCAGCTGCTGGACAGTGGCACAACTCTGGAGTAGTTCCTGAGCCAGTTCTGCGCAGGGAGCGTCAACAAGCATCTAAAAAACAAACAGACGCTGAGAAATCTACAAGGACTTTCTTGTTTTTGAGATGAGTCTGCTCTGTTGCCCAGGCTGGAGGGAGATGGCGCGATCTTGGCTCACTGCAACCTCCGCCTCCCAGGTTCAAGCAATTTTCCTGCCTCAGCCTTCCTAGTAGCTGGGATTACAGGTGTGTGCCACCAAGCCCAGCTAATTTTTGTATTTTTAGTGAAGTCAGAGTTTTGCCATGTTGGCCAGGCTGGTCTCAAACTCCTGACCTCAGGTGATCTACCCACCTTGGCCTCCCAAAGTGCTAGGATTACAGGTGTGAGCCACCGTGCCCGGCCTACAAGGACTTTCTAAACATGGTGTTCTACCTCTCAAATACATCCATTTCAGAACTCACTGAATCCATTTCCCAAAGTTACTTACTATGATGGTTGGCTGAGAGTCAAGAGAAAAGCATGTGATTTTTCCAGTTTTCTTCTAGTGTTAAAATTGGGAAGAAGGGTCGGGTGTAGTGGCTTACACCTATAATCCCAGCACTCTGGGAGGCTGAGGCAGGAGGATTGCTTGAGCCCAGGAGTTTAAGACCAGCCTGGGCAACATGTTGAAACCCTGCCTTTACCAAAAACATAAAAATTAGCCGGGCATGGTAGAGTATGCCTGTGGTCCCAGCTACTTGGGAGGCTGAGGTGGGAGGATTGCTTGAGCCCAGCAGGCAGAGGTTGCAGTGAGCCGAGATCACACTACTGCACTCCGGCCTGGATAACAGAGCTAGACCCTGTCTCAAACCAAACCAAACCAAACCAAAACACCACCAAGAAATCATTTCCTCAAAGAGGACTTCCTCCATGTTCCAATCTAGAGTAGCCCCCATCACTCTCCGCATACCACCGTCTGATATGCTTTCCTGTTGTTTTCTGCCTCCCTTCATCAGAATACAAGCACCATTAGAGCAGAGACTGTGTCTGGCTTGTTCGCCGCTGCACGCCCAGTGCATGGAACCATGACAGGCACAGGATGGGGCTCAATCAACATTTTCGGGGCCAAGCGCAGAGGCTCATGTCAATAATCCCAGCACTTTGGGAGGCCACGGTAGGAGGATTGCCTGAGCCCAGGAGTTCAAGACCAGCCTAGGCAACATGTGAAGACCTCATCTCTATAAAAAATTAATTAATTTTTTTGAGATGGAGTCTTGCTGTCACCAGGCTGGAGTGCAATGATGTGATCTCAGCTCACTGCAACCTCCGCCTCTGGGTTCAAACTATTCTCTTGCCTCAGCCTACCGCGTCGCTGGGACTACAGGCACACGCCATCACGCCCAGCTAAGTTTTGTATTTTTTTGTTTTTTGAGACGGAGTCTTGCTCTGCCTCCCAGGCTAAAATGCAGTGGCGTGATCTCTGCTCACTGCTACCTCCGCCTCCCAGGTCAAGTGATTCTCCTGCCTCAGCCTCCCGAGTAGCTGGGATTACAGGTGCTCGCCACCAAGCCTGGCTAATTTTTATATTTTTAGTAGAGACTGGGTTTCAGCATCTTGGCCAGGTTGCTCTTGAACTCCTGACCTTATGATCCACCCACCTCGGCCTCCCGAAGTGCTGGGATTACAGGCGTGAGCCACTGCGTCTGGCTCTATTTTTAGTAAAGACAGGGTTTCACCATGTTTGCCAGGATGATCTTGATCTTTTGGGGTCGTGATCTGCCCACCTCGGCCTCCTAAAGTTCTGGGATTATAGGTGTGAGCCACCGTGCCGGGCCTTATTATTTTTTTTTTTTGAGAGTCTTGCTCTGTTGCCCAGATTGGTGTGGTATAGTCATGGCTCACTGAAGCCTTGACCACCTGGGCTCAAGTGATCCTCCCACCTCAGTTTCCTGAGTAGCTGGAACTATAGGCACATGCCACCACACCCAGCTAATTTTTGTAGAGATAGGGTTTTACCACATCCAACTCCTGAACTCAGGCAATCTGCTCACCTTGGCCTCCCAAAGTGCTAGGATTACAGGTATGAGCCACTGCACCTGGCCTACAAAAATTAAAAGAAAAAACAGCCCAGTTTGGTGGTTGAAGCCTACAGTCTCAGCTACCCGAGAGGCTGAGGTGGGAGGATGGCTTGAGGCCAGGAGGTCGAGGATGCAGTGAGCTATGATCATGCCACTGCACTGGGTGACAGAGCAAGACCCTGTCTCAAAGAGAAATTTTCTTTGAATGAAAACATACTTTTTTTATCCCAATCTTTTTTTTTTT